TTGTGAACTTTACCTAAGCTAATTAAATTGAGAGTAAACTATAAATTAGTCTCTTTATTTTTTTAAAAAAAGATTAATTGATCTTTTTTATTTCAAAAACAAAATTTTTTAGTTTTTTTATTAGCATTGACTATGTTTAATTTAATATTATTTTATTTTAAAAATTCATATTTTATCATCAATCTTTCCACATTTTTTACTTTTATTTTTTTATTTTTTAAAATGAAAAATCAAAATAAATGAGAAAAGAACAAAAAGAATGAAATTACAAGAAAATATAAAAATATAAAAACAAATAATTATTTTTTGAAAAAAAGAAACTACTTAATTTGTTTTTCAAAACTAGAGAAACTAATTTATAATTTACTCCTAAATTGATGGATTAAACTCTCATTTCATATTATAAACATGTCAAAGTTTTTAACAATTACGCTAATCTACAACCGAAGACATCTCATGGTCTGGACTTAGAAGCCCATTGGGTCGATGAACTTTTCATGGGTGAAGAGTTGAGTTGTTGAGCTGTAACACTCATAACCTAGGACCTTGAAGGTTGAGAATATTATCGTCATTAACCTATATTTGAGGTGTAATGAATACAAGCTAACAAGACACTATAGCTTAATCTTAATGTTTAGGGACTAATTTATGCTATGTAAATCTAATATTAGCATAGTAAGTCCTATGCTTTAACCGAAGAGGTGCTATAAATTTTTAGCGTTTAATTATTTTGCTTGTATTCTTTAAGGTATGATTATTGGTTTCGTAGCAATAGTTTGACCTAAACTCGTTTCTTTATTAATTATTGTAAATTTATCTAGTTATGATTTATTATCATTATTGTATTACTTATTCTTTTCTCGTATTAACCATCTATCTTGTTCGACGCATGTCTAACCATATTGCTTAGGTGTCCTAACGATACAAACATGCAATGAACAATTTAAAGTAACTACACTAACATAAGTACACTACTATTTTACTATTGTACTTTGGTTACATACAAGCTACTATTTACATACAAAACTAGTTACTACCAATTACTATAAAATTGGCTTATTGACTAACTACATCATTTCAAAAGTACTAAATTTACTTGTTGATTGCTTTTAGTATAACATAAAATAGATCGGATAATCCTAAAACATACAAGACAATAGTCGGTACCATAAACAAAATAGCATGCAACAAGTCCACTCGAAGGCCGAAGCCCCATCCAAGGTATATATGTCCGGTGCACCTCTCGGAAATCAGCTCGATGGAGAAATAGGCCATCATACCTTAATTATCTACATCACAAGAAACTAGGTGAGCTATAGCTCAATAAGTAAACTCATGCATGTTGTGTATGAGCATGGATATGCATGTATGAAATACCGACATATGCACATTAAATCCCTTTTTTCGGGTCATAACACATTTCATAATCAGTTTGAAATTTTTTTTCCATCTTTGGACATGTCCCATTTAGGTACTTTAGGGTTTTCATATATGTCTCGCGAACTAGATCCATCTACGGACACACCATGTCAAGCCTTTAAAAGTACACTTCTACACTTGTCCGACTACGAATCATTACTATTACCCGATGGAAAACCCATGAAGCCCTCTCCTCATAAAAATCCTCAAGTCACGAAAATCACATTCTTTAAATTATTTTCGGTTGTTATTGAAAAATCATGACGTAAAAACAAGTTTTCATGATTTTAAAACATTTTTCATGAGCATTAGCAATGCATAGCTAATCTTGACTCATGAAGTGCATGCCATGAATAATCATGTGATCATGCCAAAATAAGGTATGAAATTAATAACATGATTACATTAATAACATTACCTTGCATAATTAATTCCAACAATTACAATCCATACCAATAATAACATACTATTCACATAACATCATATCACCGTCATCCACATTTCACCAAATACAATATTCGCAATTCAAACACATTCAACACTAATAAAAAGCACAATCATACACAAAATTATACAAAATAAATCAAGTTTCACATTTTCCCAATTAGGCCGAATTATAGCTTAACATTACCTAACCATTTTCTTTCAAATTCCAATGTCCCTTATCAAATTCTTCTCAATTATATACCAAATTAATTAAACTAACTTAATTAGGTATTATTTAATTAATTATAGGCATTATTCTCCTACTAGGCCTTATTGGGCCTAAATCCTAAATTTTACTAAACTAATTAACCCTTAGGTTTTTATAAAAGTTTCCATTCCAATTCATTTAATTATATAGTTCTAAACATGAATTGGTCAATTTAGGTGTTAGAAACCATTTTAGAATGTAAACCCTAAACTCACCCATTTAGGCCGAATTCTACCTTAACTTAAATCCTACTATTTTCTTCCCATTTCATCCTAGAATTTTAATACCAAGTAGCTTAGATATACATTAACAATAGGAATCAGTTTAATTAACATTTATAGAACAATTTATTGTCTAAACTAAAATTGGGCCTTAATGGGCCTAAGTCAACTTAACCATTTTTCTTCAATTTTCTTCAAATTTTTCCTTCCTACACATCAAATTATACTTGATTCAAGTGCTAATTAACCAACAAACCATAAATTGAATGAATGAAACTCAAACCCTAAAAATCCAAGTTTAAGCCGAATATAAACCTAGAAATTTCATGGATTTTTTTCAATTAAATTGAGGTTTTTCATTCCTAAACACAAATTCAGACCTAATTAAGTCATATTCAAGCTTTAAAACATCGGTTACATGAAAGCATCAAAAAGTCCCAAATTACTACTTCGAGTCGAATGCTCCCCCTTAAACAACCCTAAACATTTTTTAGTTTTAAACCTTAAATTCGAGCCCAATTAACATAATCCAATCTTAATTGCATCAATTATAAGCTTAATTTCATTTTCACTAAATTTATTTCACTAAGAACCCTAACCCTAATATTTGAAATTAAAGCCAAAATTCACAAATTAAAGCATACAAATAACAAATTAAAATTAATTAAATAACCCTTGTGATGTAGATGGAGTTAAATTACCTAAATAAGCTCCAATTGAGCTCCAAAACGTGAGAAAATTGAGAATTTCTTCCTTCCTCTTTCTTCCACTAAATTCGGCCTAACTTCTAATTTTTTCCCCTTGAAAATTCTTCATCTCCTAGCTTGATTAGTTGATTTAAGGTGTTCGGAGGTGATTATGGGTGGTCTTGGGTGGAGTTTCCTAGGGAAATTTTGCAAGAGTTTCCCTTGAATTTTGCTATTTTTCATGCATTTTCTCTAATTTCTTGCAACCCTATTTATAGGCAAAATTTTGGTGGACTTTTGACCTCATATCCATCATTGAATTATAGTGTTTTGGGGTGACCTTGGCCCATAAATTAATTTTTAATCCTAACATTTCAAATGGACAAGTTTTTAGCCTTTTATTTTTCTTTAATTTCTAAGCCTCTAATTTGCATGCATTTTAACCTCGTGTTTTTAAGTAAGTCAAAGTTCATTAATTAGGCCCTAATAATGCAGTTAAATTTTGGCTGGAAGGGTGGAGAAGTGTCCAAAAATTTTCTTATTTTTAGTTCCTCATTTTACTAATCTTTTCTCCCATTATTTCTCCCATCATCCTTTAATTTTTCAATTGATCACTTTAAGTCTTACCTTAAAGGTATCTTAACAACTTTTAAACTCCTTAGGTTCATATCTAATTTAATTTAGAAGTTCAAACTTTTAATTTTATACAATTAGATTCCTAATTTCTATACAATTAGGTCCTTAATTCTAAAATTTTATTCTATACTTTTCAAAAAATTCGATTTCTCTCTAGAATAAATTCAAATATTTACTAAAAGAATTTAATCATGATTTACATAATTTTTATACCCTCATTTAGGCCTCCAAATTAATTATTTAGTGTGAAAATTGCACTATTTCCTATGAAAAGTATTCCCTCCATATTGAAAAATTTATTTAAATTTATTAGATACTCTTACACATCCCAAATCATTTTTCTATGTCTTTAAAAAAAATTCCTCATCCTTTTTAAGTGTCTAATTTAATTATTCTTCCTCTAAAACACTATTCCTACGAGAAAAAAACAATTCAAATAAAATATTCACAACATATAGAAAAATTCACACAACCATATGAAATAATTCAAAACCCCTATTAAAACTATTCAAAATAAAAAAATATTTTTCTTGCATATGCACATGCTCCAAATAATTATTTCATGCAAACATTACTATTTATGCACCATAAAATCACTAAAATATTCATCAAGCATAAAAATACCATTTTAACTACTCTAAATATTCTTTTAAGTTCTTCAAGATTATTTTATAGCTTCAAAATATTTTTCACAAGTAGTTAATATTAAATTTTATTTAATTTTTATTTTAGTGGGTATCGGTTATTACATAAGCACTTAGGCTTAATTATGTTAGCTAACGAGGTATATTCTGCAAAGAGTAAATTATATATTAATCTCTCTAGTTTGGATTAATATATTAATTAGCCTTTTTTAAAAAAAAATAATTAATTAGTTATTTTCAAAATTTATTTGTAATTTAGTTTTTTAAGTTTCTTTTTTCAATTTATTTTGACTTTTTATTTTAAAAGATAGAAAAAAGAAAAAATCATGTTAAAAAAATATAAAAATATGGATGAAAAAATTAAAAAAAAAGGTTTTATGAAAACAATGTCATTTTTAATTTTTAATTTTTTTCTTAAATTTTACTGTTTTAAAATAACATTGCACGGCACCGTTTAAAGAGCTTTCATCCTATTTATATGGTAGCAGTTTTGTCTCTCCCCTTCCCTCCCTTCCCAAACTAAAACCTGCATGCATAGACCTCAAGAACAAGAACAAAGCCCAACCAATTCTATATAAGACCCTTCATTCCCTCTTTTCTCTGAATTCTTTAAACTAGGTTCAAGAACATTCCAAGCTACCTCGAATTACATAAAACAAACCTAAAGAAACCAAATCAAGATTTGGTATTCGGGATGAATATGGAAGAAATGGAAGCAAAAGACGAAGGTTATGAAGCCGATGATGAAAAGGATGATTGGAATGCAAATTAAAATGGTCAAGATGATGGGGGTGGTAATGCTGATGAAGAAGGTGATAGGGGAACAATGGATAGTACTGATCAAGAAGATGAGGATGATGATGGGGATGAACAAGATGATAGGTATGAAAATGACAGTGGTCAACATGATGGGGATGATGATATTGGGGATAATATTACTGATGAAATGGATGAAGGTGATGCAAATGATAGTGGTCAAGATGACGAGGATGATGATTTTGATGGAGATGATCAAGGAGGTCAACAAGATGACGAAGAACATCAACAAATTTTATTGGATGATATTTTACTATATATGTTCATATGGCAATGAATATTGATTCAGGAGGCACAGCCACAGGTACGTATTGATGTGAATAACATAGAATTGTATCCAAGATTTCCTGATCCAATAGGTAATTTGGAAACTATGACTTTTCATACCCACATTTATAACACAATGTCTATTTCTACTCTGATGATGGTGTGGAATCTTGGAACAATGATCCTGTAGACTTCTCTTCAAAGTCTTTCTTCTCTGCATAGGATAGTGATTTCTCAGATGAATATGAGTACTTTCGTTCTTAGGTTATTTCTCTATCATCATATTGTTTTTCTGTTACCATTGTTCTTGCATGTAGGGCTTATCATATTTTTTTCTTGACCACTATTGGTGTCATGTAATTAGATATGACTGGCCTTTTGGAATTTAGGATTCAGAAGTTTTTACTTAATATAATCTGATATGATTTTTTTTGAGTTTGTTGAAAATATACCTTAAATAATCACTTAATTTTATGGGTTGTTTTAGTTTTTATTAAAGGTTTTAAGAAAATAGAGTTTGATGATAACACGACGATGGGACGTCATTGAATTTTATAAAAAAGTTTTAACAAGAAAAAAACATATGATTTCTTGAATTTTGGTAGAGACTTGAGGAAAGAAATTCTGAAAATGGTGATAAAAGAGAACATGATAGAACATTTAAAAAAATACTAATTTTTTTTTATTTTATACTTAAATTATATTTTCTATCATAGAGATAAATTTAAACCCATAAACAATATTTTAGATAAAAAAAATATCGTAGTTTTATTTTTTACTAAAAAAAGAATAAAAACGTTTATCCCATTTATATAATACAAGATTCATCTCTCATATTCCTTCCATATTCAAATTCTAAACCTGTAGAGACCTCTAAGAAAACAAGAACAACCAATTCTCTTGAAGTTACTTCATTTTCTATCCCATTTACTTTTGTAAAAGCCTTAATTCCCTCCCTTCTCTAAGCTACCTCTAAGACCATAAAAGAAACTGATGATAAGCTACCTCTAAGAACATTAAAGAAACGAAATCAAGATGAAATGGGATAGAACATTAAAGGTATCATCATTTTTATGGGTTTCTGAATTTTTGGAGACTTATTGAACAAGAAAATCAGGATCAAGGTGAAAGCGGGAGTGAAGGGAATGCCATAGTTGAATTTGAAGGGAGAGAAAGGAATGCCTAATAAGGATAAAACTTTAGTTTCTATTATTTTTCCAATACTTTAGCTAACAGTAGTTTACTACAAAATTAAAACATATAGGACTAGGATGCTAAATTATATTTGGTTTTACACTCACTTGGTTTTAAGTTGTGTTTTTAAAAAAAACTAATTATTTAGTTATTATATTTTAAAATGTACTTATAGTTTATTTTTTCAATTTATTTTGATTTTTTATTTTAAAAAATAGAAAAAAGAAAAAAAAATGAAATAAAACTAATATTAAATCAAGTTTGATTAATATTGGTAAAAGATTGAATGATAGTTTTTTAAACGAAACAGATTAATTAAATCATTTTTGAAAACTAAAGGGACTAATTTATAATTTACTCATCTTGCAAAATTAAAACATATGGGACTTCCATGCAATTACTTCAACTATCTCCATAAGATATCTATTGAAGGCTTAGATTGATTGGTATACATTTTGTTTATAAATACATTAGTTCCTTTTCTTTTTTTTAATCATAACTTAAGAGGCTCGGTTTGAAAGGTTGCATGTCAAATCATAGACAATTTTCATAAGTTTAGCCATATTTAAGCAACTTCATCATTGTAGAAAAATCAAAAATAGTTTAAAATCTCTTTGTAAAATTACTAATTACCAACAAGGGAAAAAGGAAATTCACGAGAGCAAACAAGGAAATAATGGCATAGCACCATAATCAACATAGGAAGCTCAAACACTAGTGAATCCAAACCCTCCAGCGTCCCACACTGATGCAATCAAATCCTTAACTTCCATAACATCAAGAGTCACATTCTTCTCAATAATCAACTCGTGCAATTCTATCCCCAACCTTCACATTAAAATCGATATCGCAAGATTAAACAAGATAACCCCAACTCGATCCTTTATAGTTAACATCTATGACATCAGCACAAAACCATTCTATCTCATATGCATTCTCATCAAATCACTTCACCAATCGAAAAGGATGATTCATACATGGTTTAAGCTTCATATATAAACCCTCGGAAAACCTCTATTTCCTTAAGCAAAACCATACTAAGTGTCATTTTTTGAATGTCACGAGCCTCCTAAACTTGTTAGCTTGCTTTTGATACTTCTTGTGTTGCTTGTTGATTGTTTCTCTCACTTGTTCATAAAGCTTGTTGATCTCTTTAGCTCTTTCATCGACATCCAAACTAAACTCCTTCAATGTTTAGAGAAAAAGATATAAAAAAAGAGTCATCAACTAGTTTTAAGGTTAATAGGAATCCAAATGACTGGTCTACTTAGAGTTCAAGGATAAAAGAGTTTGTTATGTATAGAAAAGATTAAAAATCACCTTATTTTATCTTGCCTAATGAAAGCTACATCGAATGTAAATCTTAACATGATTCCTAATTTTTGTTATGATGAAAGTCTATGTCTATTCATAAATATTTGCCAATCAAATGAGTGATTTGGGATTTGGCTCGTCAAGAGCCATATCCTCACTCTAAAACATGAGGGTATTAAACTTAGGAAGAAAAAATAAAGGGATGAAACCCAATGAACATCATAAAGTAAAAATCCGTCTTATAAAAGACCATGATTGATTAAAAATTCAGGACATGAAATATCACAATTTAATTGAAAATGTATGATATGAAAAATCATAATTCATTTAAAATTAGTAACTTGAAAGACTATGAATAATTTTAAGAATATAACATGAAAGTCACATATTAGCTTCAAACTCGTGACATGAAAGACCATGTAGAAATGTGTGACATGAAAAACCCCAATTTGGTTTGAAAAACTTGCCTTGAAAGACCATGATTGAATTAAAATTTGCGACATAAAAGACTATGATTATTTTAAAAAATATGACATGAAAGATCACGAGTGATTAGAAATTCATGACATGAAAGATCACAATTAGCTTGAAAAACGTGATTTGAAAACCAACGATTGATTTGAATAATCAATTTCTTCTTTTGTTACAACTCTAATAGTTTTGAGATAAAATGTACCACTAACCTATCAAAATTAAATTTATATAAAACATAAGCATGTCACAAAAAATAAAGACATCAATTAGTCGAAGCATATCCGCAAAAATAATAAAGCCTTGCATTAGTAGAAAGAAAACATTAGCAAAACTAATCCACATCATATTTGTCATTACCCGACGTTGGACGGGACTTCAAAAAAAAAAAAATCTGATTGTATCACTAGTTTCGGGTTTTTATTTTATTTACAAAACTATTTACGAGTTTGGAGTCGCCACCTAGTATTGAAGGAACTAGGAACCTAAAATTGGCACTCGGTTCGGAGATTCTATGGTAAAGCGTCGGTTACGCTTATGAGAAGATAATTAATCACCCAAAAGTACCATTTCCTAAGAAAAGTACCACGTCTAGCTTAGCCCTAAATTACCTCCTAAAGTATTTCATTTTTGCCACATTATTTTTCAATTTTTGAGACTCCAATTTTTCAAGTCAAATTAAGTTTTTTATTTTGGAGCGTGACATCGTATTGAAACAATCGTCGGACCCCTTCCGTCGAGAGACACGTCGGTTCAAACATCGGATCCATTTTTTTGTCTCGATACAACCGGTGTGTTGGAAAACATTTGTTTATTAAAATGAATTTTTCTTTTTATTTATTTATTTATTTTCAAGTGAAAGATTGTCATCAATCCCTAAAAAATTAAGAGACTTGACGATCTTCTCGCTTATTACTTACCGAGCCTAATTACTAAACAAATAAATTAAAGCTACATGAATAAAATAAAATACTAAGATTTAAATTAATAATGGGTATGCATAAAATAAATTCAAGGGTAAATTCAAACAATTACAAAATATTAAAATGACAAATTCTAACTAACATGCATAAATAAACCTAAAATTAAATTTACATTAAAAATAAATAAAGACCATTTAACATCTAAATAAAAAAAAGGAATAACATGCATAATGTTAAAATGTAAAATCTATTACACCTTTTTTTTTTTTTCTTTCTTTATTATTTTTTTTTATTTTTTTGTTTAAGTGAAAGATTGTCATCATTCCCTAAAAACAATTTAGAAGACTTGACAGTCTTCCACCCATTACTTACCAAGCCTAATTACCAAAGAACTAAATTAAAGCTACATTAACCAAATAAATGAAAGAAAAAAGGAAAAAAATTCAAATATTGAAATGTAAAGAATAGACATGCATAAAATAAGTTCAAATTTAAAATCACATTAATTAAAATATTTATAGACCATTAAAATATTAAATTCTAAGTTAACATAAATTAACAAACATGCATAAAATAAACTCAAGATTAAAAACTACATTAATTGAAATAATAAAAAAAATTCAATATATAACTTAAATAAGAAATAACATATATATATATATAGGGTTTGAGTCGGATCGTCCGACCCAAATTTCTCCTTTTTTTCCGGATCTGGACTAAAATTTCGATCCAACCCACACCATTTAAAAGCAAAAACCTAAAAACCAAAACCCATCCCACATTTCAGCATAACTTAGATCAAAAGCCCCTTTTTTTTTTATCAATTTCCCTTTCCTCCTCTCTCTTTCCCGTTTCTCTTTCTTCTTTTTGTTCTTCTTCTTCCCTTCTCTCCACCCAACTCGCCATGGACGAACCGGGTTTGTCCCCATTTCTTTTCTTTCTTTTTCTTTCGTTTTCTTCTCTTCCTCCTTTCCCGCACCCCTCTCTTTTTTCTTTTCCTTTCTCTTTTCTCTCCCTTTCCCGTCTTCCCCTTTTAATTTTTTTCTTCAAGTCGCCATGGACGAACTAGAACGAGTTCGTCCTTGCTTCCTTTTTTTTTCTTCCTCTTCCCTTCTTTTCTTCCTTATCCTAAATGTCTTAATTCCCTCTAGACCAAAAACCCCAAATCAATTTTTTCAAAAAAAATCCCCAATACCGACCGAACCCTAATTTTTCAATTCTTCAAATTTTTCACGCAATTGGCCTTGATTGGATTAGTTTCTCTTTAAATCGAATCCAATCCCACTTATTAGGAACCCATTTCTTGAAAACCCCCAATTTTATTGGTTTGAAAACTCGGGAACACTAATTTTTTTATCTATCTTAAATCAGTCTCCAATTGAGGCTTAAACCCTAAATTGAAACCCCGCCCAACTTTAATTAGCCTTCCTTTCAAATCCTTAACCTCAATTTCAAACCAATCAACAAAACCCCCAAATTCGAAACTCAAATTGTCAAGAACCCCGAAATTCTCAAAAATCCAATTCAATTCTCAAATTCAAAACCCAAAAGCATTTGGGTTTGAATTCAATTCATCTTCGATTGAGTGAAAAAGCAAAACATATATGAGTCCGTGATTGAAGGGAAATTCGGGGATGGCGATGATGAACATCACTCGCCATCAATTCTATAGAAAAAATAAATTTACATTGGGATGAATTAGGGGTGGCTTACCTAAAGGAGAATCTGGATTGAAGATGAAGAAAAACCTCTCTGAGTCACTCGTTGCTCCAGCAAAAATTAGGTAAAATTCTCTTTTCTTTTTCGTTTCCTTCTTTCGGTTTTGGTTTTTCCTTTTTTTTTTTTAGTTTGATTTCTTTCCAATATTTTGAAATGATTTTTGGATTGAATCCCCCTCTTGTTTATGCTTCTTGCTGCCCTTTATATATATATATAAGTGATTTGTTGTGCTCTTTTGATTTTTTGATTGTCTTCTATCCAATTCCTCTTTGATTTTGTTTGTTGCTAGCAGTTGTGTATGTGTGTATGTTTGGTTCCTTCCTTGCGTTGAGTGGGATTTTTCTTGCAAGTATGGTGGTTTGGTAGTAGAGTATCGGCCTCCTTAAATTTTCGAACCCCCTCCCCTTTTTTTTTCAGTCCGTGAATTATAAATCGTCTTCCGTTTGGTTGGTTCCCTACTTATGATGGTGAGGGATTTTGTTGCGGGATCCGGAGTGGGCGTGTGTGACCATTTGGGTTATAGGGGATGGTCGTGGCGAGGTCGGTAATATGGGGAAGGTCTGTGCGATTCGTCGCCAATTGCGGCATGGTGAGGTTGTAAGAATTGGGGGATTGCACTTGGAGATTGCTTGGATATGGAGGAAGTTGTCCGGAGGGACTCGTGGAGGTTGTAGCGAAGCGGTGAGGCTACTCGGAGGCACTTGTGGAGGTTGTGTGGGTCGTGGGGGCTACCGGGAGAGGGTTGGGTGATGATGCGGTTGTTGGAATTTAAAGCGGTAGGGTGGCTGGCAGGTGAGGGTGCTGCTATTGTTGACTTGGGAGGAGTGGGCTAGCTGCAAGTTGAGGAATAATCCGGGAATTGCATAAGAGTGGCTTCGGCTTGGGTAGAAAACAGATTTGGGGAATTATCCGAGTGTAGCTAGGAAATGTTGGAAAATTGTAAAGGAAATGGAGGGAAACTATCCCTCCATCTCTGCTTTCATTTTCCTTTATATATATATATATATATATATATATATATATATAGCTTTTTTGTTTCTTTTTTTTGTAATTTTGTATTGAATTAAAAAAATATATATTTTTTGATTTTTTGTTTGTTTTGATTTTACATAAAACAAGCATGAATAATAAAAAAATAATAAATAAAGAAAACTAAAATAAAATAAAATAAAAATGAGTAAAATTTTAGGGTATGACAATATTAATACTTCCAATAAATAATAAGTTCATTGATCATTTGAAAACACAACTAGCCTACGGTTTCTTTTAGCAAGTTGTTTTATCAAATTAATTTGCAGGTACCAGGCTGACGACCTTCCATCTACCTTCTTTTGCAGCTTTGAAATGGTCTTCTATTCCACTGCAAGTACGTGATATTTTGGACCTGAATAGTATAAAAAGAGGCAGAAAGGATAACTCAAATTGTAGGTATTATTTATGTTTCTTATAGATCAACAAGATACATTACTCTTTTTTATAGCTGTAAAAGACTCTTCTAGGAGGGACTCTTTTAAAAACTAAAACATTGCATATAACAAGTGATTCTTCATGAAACTAATTAATAGAGAACAAAACTTTCATTTAATATCATGTTGATTAATCTTGTTTTCCGTGAGATGGTATCAATTGCTATTTCCTATGTTTTGAGATGACTGATTCGTCATGCTCGGTTCTTTGACTTCATAATTTATGAGGCTCAAGTAGGGAGCTACGACTTGCACTTCACCAACTTTGAAGAGTTCTTTATTGGAATATATTAATTGAACTTTTGGGAAAATGACTCTTTTCTTAGAATTTCGAACATATTTAGAGAGCATTTACCAACTGTTCTACAAGCTAATCATTTAATCTAAGTTCTAACTAATCAATGGAGTTATTAATTAAATGGGTAAGTTATATCAAAGTTTTATTATCCCTGCTATTCTTATATTAGAAAATGAGCTTACATACATAAATAATTGACATAAATAAACAAACAGAAAAAATGGCCTTATATAGCCTTGTTTAGCCATTTTAATCCAAGTTTCAATTATGAAGTTATTAATTGGATGGACGTTGTATCAAAATTTCTTATTCCCATTATTCTTATATTAAAAAAAAAAATGAGCCAGTAGCTATAAAAAAAAACAAGCCTATTTGAAAAAAAGTATTTTTTCTGTCCTAGTGTTGGCTCCCTGAGGGTAAAAACAGGTTGAAACAACAGTGCCAGCTTAATTCAAATGTGTGAAAACCACAAGCAATTGATAAACAAGATAATGCTCTGGACATTTTCATGTTGACCTCTTTCAAGTATAATTATTCTTGATTGCTGCCATTAAAAATTCAAAAAGCTGTAGAGATTGATTCGTAAGTTTGTATTTTATTTTTTTCAAAGCCCACCTTCATCTACGACATCATAGGCCAAGAATGAAAATGCACATTGCATCTAGTAAATGTTAGACATAACAAATTAGCACAACTAAAATCATCAAGAGTAACATGATTATTTTATTCTCATATTTTGTCTCCATTTCCCACTCCAAATCACATTAGCAACGAGAATTTCATTAAGTTGGGGAATTGAAATGAAAAATCATATAACAAATAGCAATTTGTCAAATTAAAGTTTCATTGCAAAATTTATTACCTTTCTTGGTCACAATAGCAGGATTACATCAACTTTAAGTCCTGATAGAAAACCACAGTAATATTGATATTGGACCTTGTATTTGATTCACCATTACCCAAAATTCTTCCAACATAACCTATACATTTATAAAAAAAAAGTCAATGATGTAGTCTTCATATTTTCTTAAGAAGAACAAAAGCAAAAAATCTCAGTGTTGACCTTTCTATATATGCTCATCTGTATTGAACTCTCTTCCCATGATTTAACTTGCACAAGGCAAAATGTCGTTCCTAACACAATTAAAAAAAATAATTAAATAATAAAAATTCACATAAATAAAAAAATAAATTTATTGTAAATTATGAAAAAAGAATTAGAATTTTTTATCGTGATCATTAAAAAAATTAATGATTAAAATTATGATGTTATGTTTCATGATATAAATATGATCTGAACTATTAAAATATTTTTACTAAAAAAATTAGATGATTGTCCGAGGCACAACTAAGTTGATTTTTTAAGATGACACACTCCGTCCGTAAAAGTTATCTTATACAACGAATTAAGTATATGTTGCATGTTGTTTTAAAAATACAATAAGTTCAGCTATTTCATCGTGTCTCAATAAATTTATACTACTAATAAGATTTAAAACTCAAAATATAATAATACCACTCTTACTCAAAGAAAGAACTAATAAAAATTAAATGATTTGTCTAATGGGAGGATAGTAAAAGAAGAAAAAACTACATATTTTTTTCTGCTAACGAGAGGAAATGAGTTGTGTTTCAAATGACAAAACAGAACTGTATTTATAGGAAGAGGGAAATAAGCCATTTAAAGGAATTAAAATCATGACTTGAAAAATATTTAAAAAAAAACGGTAGAAAACATAATGATTATATATATATATTGTAACCGGCACAATAACAACTCTGTTTTTCAAAAATTACTTAAGTATTGTTTCAGAAAAAATAATTGAATTTAGAAAATGCTTAAAGGTTTTAAAAAGAGATTCTAATAATAGTGATGAACGGAATGTAATGATTGAATTTAATAGCACAAAAATATGATTTCTTGATTTTTAGAATAAGCTTAATGGTTTTGAGAAAAGAGAGTTTGATGATGGCACGATGATGGGACATCATTGAAACAGGTTGAAGAAGGAAAAAAAACATATGATTTCTTGAATTTTGGAAGGGTTTTGAGAAAAGAAGTTCGATGATGCTGATAAAAGCAAATATGACAGAAGATTTAAAACAATGCTATAAATATTTTATTTTATATTTAAATTTTACTTTTCATTATACAGATGAATTTAAATCCATAAAAAATATTTTAGAAAAAAAATTATCATAGTTTTTTCTTTCGATAAAAAAAGAATAGAAAGATGAGATTAAAATAAATAAAACAAAGTTGAGACTAGTTGTAGAATAGGATTAACGATATGATTTAACATCATTAACCTAAAAAATTAACTCTCGGAAGAATTTAAAACAAAAGTCAAATATAAAAGGACAAGCTTAAGATAAACATGTAAAAGAACATAATCGAGATGAAGAAAGATTAAAGGGATCTCTGTAATCATTAATTTAAAAAATAAACATCTACTATTCAATCTTTTTATCTTGATATTAACAAGAAAAAAAATTCCAAGCAGAATGCTTTCATTGAAAGGTAGAACCAGAAGAAAGAAGGCTTGTGGTTTTTTTGAAGGAATTGAGAAAAGAATTGTTAATGAAGATTATGATGCTGATACAGAAGAAGAAGATGATAAAGATGTAAAAAAATATGGTAAACATGATGGGATGATAACGAAGACGATGAAGGTGAACAAAATTATGATCAAATTAAAAAAAAAAAGAACTTTTTGATATTTTTCTATATATTCTCATGTAGCCACAAATACTGACTCAAAGTCACAATAATTAGAGGCATCCGTTCATAAAGATAACGTAAAATTATTCTCAATATTATTTTTATTATCAAAACATTCAATAGTTAACCTTCAACTTAATGCTAGTTAACTATTGGGTCTTCTCGTAAGATAATTTTTTTTATTTTTAGGTTTGATGGATTTAAAAAATAAATTGATGGATTTTTTAGATAGAATTTTTTTATTGAATTTTTTTTTATATAATTTTTATCTAATAATAAACCTATGTCATAGTTTTTAATGAGTTTGATATTTATTATTTTTTTCATGATCAAGTCAAGTTCTTTTTTTATTGCATTTGAAAGAAAAAAAAAGTTTTTGAGGTTTTTTGACTTTTAAACACTAATATTCGACTACTATTTTTTTTATTATACTAAAAAATTCTTTATATTAGAGTTTTTTTTATCGACCATTTGTTTCATTAATTACAAGATTAATTTTAATATCTAGTAACTATAGCAACTGATGCAATTTAACTAATTAATATTGATAAAATGAGACTCTTGTTATTCTCTTGTAATTTAATGAAAAGTTATTATACAAATAAGAAAAATAAGAATATGTATGATTACGAACACAAATGATTTCTTAAACCCTTATATATTGATATAAAAAAAAAGCATCATAGGTAATACTAGTTTTTAATTAATCAAAACTCAATTTTTTTCTATCAAACAATTGAATTAAATTACAAGATGAATATATCATATATTTTGGTGCATTAATTAAATAAAACATGATCATCTATAATAGAAATACATATCTTGAAAGATAATGGTTTCATTTAAATTAGGGATAATTACCAAAATACATTCTAAAATATATTGTATCTAAAAAATTCACTATTTTATTTTTAAATCTCACAAGCTTAAAAAATAATATTGTTTTTACCAAAACAACCAATAGTTAAACACTAGTGTTAATTATTAGGTTTTTTTTAGTAAGAAAAATATTATTTTGGGTTTGAGAGATTTAAAAATTAATTTATAAGTTTTTTTAGATAGAAGATTTTTTTATAAGGTTTTTATTTTATTTTATTTATAATTATCCCTAAAAAATATACTAAAAGAGAGCCTAACGAAGCTAACCTAGTGAAGTCATATGTCTAGCCAACATACCAAAAGAGATGGGAGGAAGCAATTTGAGAAAGTCTACTGTTGCCACTAAGAATGACAATAAGTACATTGGATACTCCCTTTACTAATTCAATAGGTATTCATTAAAAATATTTAACATATATATATAACGTGCATTGTCAGGGTATAGCTCAGATTTAAAAATACTTGGTTTTTGTTCTTTCACTTGGCAAATTTCTTATAAAACTGACCCGACAGTCAGAGTATAGCTCAAATTTAAGCAAATTCAGAAGTTGTCTGACAGCTGCCAATTAGGAAACCAAAGTTTGGACTTTAAAGACATGCGTGATTGAGTAGAGACATTTTGTCCTTTTAATTTCATCAAGAAAATTCAATGCAGGCTAGAAAATACCAGACTCCAGACAAGAGAGATTTGACTTGCAGTTGAATTTGTGAACTCGAGAGTACCTGCCAAATGAAGGTGGTTTTTTTAATTTTTTTTGTTCATTCACATCCTCTTGTGAGTGATGGAATTAATGATGGGACATTCTTTTGGTTTCAATTGGTAAAAATTGTATTAAAATTCTTAAAAATTTTGAACCATACCAAAAAAGGCCCTCAATGAATGAAATTTACCTAACCTAAATTGATGAGAGTAAATTATAAATTAATTCTTTCATTTTTAAGAAATGAATAAATTAATCCTTTTTTATTTTAAAAATCAATTATTTAGTCTTTTGACTTGTACTAACCATACTTAATTTAATATTTTTTTATTTCAAAAAATTATATTTTCTCATCAATCATTTTATATTTTTTACTTATTATTATTATTATTTATTTCTTCAAACAAGTAACCAAAATAAATTGAAAAAAGAATAAAAAGGATGAATTTACAATAAAATTTAAGAACTAAATAATTATTTTTTGAAACTAGAGGGACTTATTTATAATTTATTCCTAAATTGATGGATTAAACTCCTCTTTCATAGTATGAACTTGTCAAAGTTTTTATCAAATACGCTAATCTGTCACCGAAGACACCTCATGGTTGAACTTAGAAGCCCATTGGGCCTGGAACTTGTCATGGGTGAAGAGTTGAGTTGCTGAGCACTAGGGCCCGGTTATGTTAGCCAACGAGGCATATCCCGCAAAGAGTAAATTATAAATTAGTTTCTCTGGTTTCCATAAACGGATTAATTAATTTTTTTGTTTAAAAAATTATTTATTTAGTTTTTAAATCTATTTTTAACTTAATTATTTTTTTATTTTTCAATTTATTTTGATTTTTTATTTTAAAAAATAGAAAAAAAGAAAAGAAAGTAAAATCTATAGAAAGATTGTTGAGCAAAAAAAAAATTATAAAATAAAAATAATATTAAATTAAATATAACGAATACTATTTAAAAGATTAAATGATAATTTTTAAAATAAAGTAGACTAATTATTTTTTTTAAATTAGAAAGACTATTTTATAATTTATTCTTCCTGCAAAATTAAAACATGTAGGGCATTCATGTAATTAATTTAATTATTTCTATAAGATATCTATTGGAGGCTTAGATTGATCGGTATAATTTATTATTACTATTATTATTATAAATATATTAGTTCATATCTAATGTGGATACTCAGCTTAAAATTTAATCATAAAAAAATAATTTTACTTTATAAAAGCTGAAAGCTGATTAAATTTGTTTTTGATATAATTAAAAAAAAATATTTCAAAGATTAAAAAAGAAGAAGAAGGAGAAGAAGAAGAAGAAAAAGAGGTTTTTTTAACTTTCTTGGTTTGATAAACAGTAGAACTTTTTTCCGTTTTTTTGGCACTTCACAAACAGTAGAGCTGAAAAAGGGGTAGGCAGCGACGCGTTGAAAAACACGGGTAAGGAAGCCGTGAGCCCAACAATGAAGCTACCGAGTGAAATTCATATGCCTACCATTTTTTTTTTTAAAAAAAAAAAGAAAGAAAAAAAGAAGAAGAAGATAAAAAGTCTACACAAGTGGCCTAATTGACCGCACTTTTAAGCCAATCCATGCAACGTCTCAGCATTCCATTATGGGCGGCAATATTATGTGCAAGAAGAAGAAGAAAGATTTTATTATACTACTTACCTCCCTTTTGTTTTTATGCACCTCTATTTTAGTTTTGATTTTTTTTCTTTTTAACAAGCAATAAAATGTATTTTCATACCAGTTTATTGTTAATTAAAATTAAATTTTATTTTTGAATAAATTTTAAAATATATCTTTTACATTACTAAACTATTTCAAAATTAAAAAATAAGAAATAAATACTTTTTAAATCATGATAACAACCTTTTGAAATTCTGCTTCCAAAATTTTGTTGCTGTTAAATATTTGGTAATGTGATAAATGTTTTTGCTTTCCATTCTCTCCATTATTATCTCAGGTTCAAATTCAAACATACATTGTAAAATATTTTCTCATAAACCTTCTCTTTGGATATAAATAGTATGTCTGATACCTTATTTAAAATTAAAAACTGACTTGAGAATATCTTAACTATTAGAAAAAAAAAATTGGCAAATGCTTATCTGTATTTATCTTCTTTTATATATATAATTTATCCGTATCTATCTACTATCTTCACTTAAACCAGATTAAATTATAAATTAGTTCCTTTTATTTTGAGAAATAAACTAATTAACCCCTTTAGTTTCAAAACCCAATCATTTAATCTTTTTTATTATTTTTTAATTTATTTTGATTTAAAAAAATTAATAAGAAGATGATATGTTTTATTAAAAAAATATTAAATTAATCATAATGAGCATTGATTAAAATGATTAAATAATTAGTTTTTAAAACTAAAAGATTAATTGATTCTTTTTTTTGAAAAAAAGAACTAATTTATAATTTACTCTTTCAAGCAATAGTGATATTTAATCTATATGCATATAATTTTTGTACAACTAAATTTGTTAAAACTGTTTCAGTGAAACAATGAATTACTACTGATCATAATTAATAATTAATAGACCAATAATCACCGGCAGTCAATATAGTTTCTAAAAACAAAAAAAAAAAAAAAAAAAAAAAAAAAAAACAGAACAGAGTTTTTAGTATTTGGTTTTCCCTTTCCGCGTCAATCTGTCTTTTTCTCTCTCTCTTTCTATCTCAAGAAGCCCACCAACGTCAACAAGTTTTTTAAAAAATAAGGTTTCATTGGTAATAAAACACTTGAAAATTTACAATTTTTCTTAATTTTTTTGTCAGCTCCTACTTTTCAATGAAACCTTAATGAAGAAAGAAAGAACAAAGAAAAAATCACCGTTTTCCAGGTCAACAACATTGTCTATTCATTCACAGCCAGCGGCCCTTTTGAGCTCCTTTTGAATGGATCTACTCATAATATAATACCCTTTTGTTTTTCTTAGAAAAGTTATTGTCCACATTTTGGATTTTCTACGTCTCTCACAGGTCCAAAATAAGGCTCATTTGGGCAAAATTCTATGTGGGTTTTGCTATTTATGGTATTTGATTCTATATTCTGGCCTGTTTAAGGAAGATTAATTGTGGGTTTTGTTTGGTGAATTGAGTTTTGATTCCAAGTTTGAATTTTTATCCAAAATTCTATCTGGGTTTTTGAGAATTTTTATCTAGACTTTGGCGGCTGGGTTGTTTTAGAGGCTTATCTTGATAAAATTTGAATTGGGAATGAGTTAAATGGTCAAAGCTTGAAGCTTTTTGAGTTGGTTTTGTGTTATGAGGGTATTGTAAGGGTTTTGATTCTTCTACAAGGGGTTTAGCTATTGATGAAATGAGAAGGATATTTTATGCTTACAAGGATCAATCAACAACAAATGGTTCATATGAAGTCAAGTTGTTTCAGTGTTTTCGTGATTCTGCTATGTGCATCTGTGGTAGCGAGCTTGGAATACAGGGGAAGGACAGAGGAAGTGTTTCTGAGGAAATTAGTTGATCTAGCAACTGGGGATGTTGATAACGACATGGTAGGACTTTATACCATACTCTTCTATAATTCCATTGCTTGCAGTTTAATAAATTTGTGATCGCAATCGAGGTTATTTGATTTCCACTGGTTGAAATGCCCTTTTTATGCTGTACATCGTGAGTTGGGTAGGGATGTTAAACTGCTGTTTATGTTTCTTACACTCTAGAAATGAGAGATATGTCTTGTATGGTTCATGGTGCAAAGGTTCAGATTTATCAAACGCAGGCAAATTGGTGTTAAATTGTTTGAACAATATCACTATTGGCTGATAAAATGATATGGCACTGAGTTATATTTAGTAACATTTCATTGGGATGTATGAGTTAACATTGTTGCATCCCCCATGAATCATGACCACGATACTATTTACTCTCAGTTCTGGATTTCTTCTACTGTCTCCCCCGAGTTATGACAACAATATTATTCATTGTCTCAGTTCTGGATTTCTTCTTTTCTATTCTTTGTTTAGGGTTTTGGGATTTTTTTTTTTTGGGCACAAGGGGGGACATTCAGAGTGGAAGAGTTGTGATTATGGAATTCTTTAATCGTGTAAAACACAACAATAATTTATTTATTTTTATCCAAAAACTAGTCATTGCTGAAGATGAACAATGATCATTGATAAGGATCATAATACCACAATAGCCTCTGACCAAGTGTCTTTTGCACTATTGCATCCATGAGCATATCCATGTTGCACATGCTTATGTGTATGCTTAAGTGGGGATATGCACTTCCAAGCTCTTCCTTTGTACTGATTATGTTGTCCTCTCTGTCTTCCCCTCTGCAAATGTGGCATAGCCTTCATGTGTTTGTGTTCTTTTGCATTCTTAATACTTCCTTGTTCTTCATGTGTGTGTGTGAGAGAGAGAGAGAAAGAGATGCATTCTCGTGCAGATACTGCTTGTCCTTTATTCATATTTATATATGTCTCCTTCTTAAGACTCATCTGAAATTGTAGTTTAATCTTCCCAGCTGGGCAAATATTTACTGAAATTTTTTTGGATTGCAGGCAGAACTGCTATGCATCATTTGCAAGGTAGATTTGATTCGTCTGAAGGAAGCTGATGAAAATCTTAACTTCTGTTTCCCAGAGGAAGCATTTAATGGGGCCAGTGAACTAAGCTCAAAGGGTTGGTCAGTGGCAAACGAAAACATTCAGAAATTGATTAAAGTCCTGCATTCCCAGTTAAAGAAAACTCTTTTAGATTGCGTAAGAAAGAACAATCATCTGTTCCATGTTTCTGGAGCTGAAGGTGGTACAGATATTTATCTCACAAGGCGTGCTGCTGCAAGGAGGAATTTGCTTCAGAACATTGCAAAGACCCCAGCCCCAGCCCCAGCCCCAGCCCCAGCCTCAGAGCCAGCGCCTGCTGTTGGATCACCATCTCCTAGCCCTGCTCCAGCCCCAAATCTGGCACCTTCTTCAGTTTCTACTCCAACCCCTGCCCCTTCACCACAAGAGCCATTTTTTCCTCAACTATCTCCACCTCCTCCCAGTCCTACCGAAAATGCTTCTGCAGGTCCAACTTCTGGTCCTATCGAGCCAGATAATGGCAAAAATAACCATAAAACAGTTGTTATTGCAGTAGTTGTGACTGCTGCAGTGACATTTGTTGTTGCGGCATTGTTCTTTTTGTTTTGTACTAAGATTTGTAGGAGAGGACCTGCAGGTAGAAGAAATGATGAAAGACCCCTTCTTAGCCTAAGCTTAACTGACAATTCTGTTGGTCAGTAATAAATAGTCTGTCAGATGTTTTCTTTTATCCTATTATTCTTTTATACAATTCTGATATTGCTTCAAAATTTGATCTTCCAGGTTCTACACATAAAACTTTTGGCTTAGGAAATTCTATTGAAGAAGAGAAGCTTGGTCATCAATCTTTTGGATCATCTTTGGAGAGCAATTTTTATAAGTCTGATGCTCTTAATGTATCGCTAGATGAAAGTATGTCATTAGGAGCTGTTGGCGGTGCTGCCAAATCCTCTGCTGACAGCAAGATGAACACACTTGTACCACCTCCTCCAGGAAGGACAGGGAGCAACCCCTTTTTGAAGCTTCCTCCTGGAAGGGCAGAACCACTTCCTCCAGAACCGCCTGCTAATCTCAGGCCTCTTCCCAGTAGGGCTGGTCCTACTCCTCCCCCTCCCGCACCACCTGCCCCTGCAAAATCATCCAGTAGCGCTGGCCCTCGACCCCCTGGTCCACCTCCTCCTCCACCTATTGCTCCTGCAGTGAAACCTGGTCCACGGCCTCCACCACCTCCAATGGGAGGTTCTGCTCCTCGACCACCACCACCAATGCACTCATTAGGTCCAAAGGCTCCTCGACCACCTCTTGGATCAAAACATCCTTCCAATTCTGCGTCTAGTGAGGATGATGCTGATGCTCCTAAAGCCAAGTTAAAGCCATTTTTCTGGGATAAAGTTCTAGCCAACCCTGATGATTCAATGGTTTGGCATCAGATTAAATCAGGATCATTCCAGTAAGTTATAAATCTCAATTTTTATTGTTATTTTTTATTTTGTCATTCATTAATCCCTAAATAACCTTTGCTGCTGAATATGTTTTTTACAGGTTCAATGAGGAGATGATAGAAACCCTGTTTGGATATGCACCTGATAAAAACAAAAATGAACGCAAGAAAGAGTCTTCTTCCCATGATCCTTCACCCCAGTTTATTCAAATACTTGATCCCAAAAAGGCACAAAATTTATCTATTCTTTTGCGGGCACTGAATGTGACGATAGAAGAAGTCTGCGATGCACTTCGTGAAGGTGGTCAACTCTCTTTCTTTCTTTCATTAGAGATACATGCATGGATAAGTTAAATTGCACACCAATTCCAAGAAATTCAATGTCTGTTTTTTTTTTTTTTTGGGCAGTGGGGGGGGGGGGTGTTGTAGTGGCACGTTTCTTTTATCCTGTTCATTGTCTGTGAAAATCTTTCCTTTTACACACCGTATTTGTCTAATATGGCTGATTTTCATGATGGTGTGGCCATGTGGAAGGTTGGAATTACCCCATCTCATTGGTTGTGGAATTCAAGTAGCATTAGTGTCTTTTGGTTTTAATGCATTGACATATTCTAACCTCTGTTAGTTAAATCAGGAAACGAGCTTCCTGTAGAGCTTTTTCAAAATTTGTTGAGGATGGCGCCCACAGCAGATGAAGAACTGAAGCTTAGGCTCTACAGTGGTGAACTTTCTCAACTTGGACCTGCTGAGAGATTCCTAAAAGCGTTGGTTGATATCCCATTTGCATGTAAACGACTGGAAGCACTGCTTTTCATGTGCACTCTACAGGAAGAGCTTACCACCATTAAAGAGTCTTTTGAAACCTTGGAGGTAGGAAACTGGATATTGTATTTCTTCAGTACTTGGTTTAATTCTTGCTTTTAGATGCTGGTTATCTTTAACAATATCTTGGAAATATCTATGCTCATGGTCTAATGATGACATGATAGTTGCACTTTTTCGACATATGGGGAAGCAGACCCTTGCGGCGCTTGATTTTGGGAAGGTACACCAAATTGTGGAGATGTATTTTAAAAAATTATTAAAAATATAACTGAAAGAAAATTTTCATGAAGAACCACAATACAACTGATTTCAGTTTAGTGCCTCTTATCAGTTCCCTTCCTAAGTGTCTCAGAAAGCGCATGCATCTCTTCTAGATTATAGTGTGAAAGAGACTAGTCACCTATCAGACAATAGAGGATGCGTAGGATATGGTAGGAAAGGTAGCACTGCTAGAATCCTCTGACTTGATGATTTTTGCTTTTGGAACGTATGCATGTTTTTGCATATAAGACGCATGTTTGTATAAAAATATTCCTACATTTATAAAATTTGAATATATTAAGATGCAAAAGTGATCAGTTTCTCTTGGGTCTGATCACTAATCTGACTCTGATTTCTGGCAATTCTTGAATTTCTGCACTTGCTAACATCTCATGTAAATGCCATCTCCATCTAATATGGCAGGTTGCTTGCAAGGAACTCAGAAACAGTCGATTGTTCCTCAAGCTTCTAGAAGCTGTTCTTAAAACAGGCAACCGGATGAATGATGGAACATTCCGTGGTGGTGCACAAGCATTCAAGCTTGACACACTTTTGAAATTATCTGATGTAAAGGGAACAGATGGGAAGACGACTCTCTTGCACTTTGTTGTTCAGGAGATAGTTCGCTCTGAAGGTGTGAGAGCTGCTCGTGCAGGACGAGACAACCAGAGCCTCTCTGGTATCAGTGTAAAAACTGACGATCTCCTTGAGGAAATTTCCCCTGATACAGAAGAGCACTATCGCAGCCTTGGTCTTCAGGTTGTTTCTTGTTTGAGCAGTGAACTAGAAAATGTCAAAAGAGCAGCAGTTGTGGATCCTGACAGCTTAACAGGATCTGCAGCCAAACTTGGGCAGTCACTGTTGGTAACCCGAAATTTCCTGAATAAAGACATAAAGAATTTAGAGGAAGATAGTGGATTCCATGAAACGTTGAGAAGTTTTGTGCAGAATGCTGAGGTTGATATCATGTCCCTTCTGACAGAAGAAAAGAGAATTATGGCTCTGGTGAAGAGCACTGGCGATTATTTCCATGGAAATGCAGGGAAGGATGAGGGTTTACGATTATTCATCATTGTAAGAGACTTTTTAATAATATTAGATAAGGTATGCAAAGAGGTGAGAGAGGCACAAAAGAGGTCAGCGAAAACACTGAAAAAAGAGGCATCTACTGCATCATCGCCCTCTCATCAGCGCCAGAAACCCTCGCCTGATCTTCGCCAACGGCTATTTCCAGCGATTGCAGAGCGACGTATGGCAGGTTCTGATTCTAGTTCGGATGACGAGGGTTAATCTGGAAGAGGTAAGTTAGGACCCTATGCATGTTTAATCCGTGGTTTCTTTCCATTTAGAATTTATACAATTGAACTATATAATGCTCGAAGACAATGTAATTCTGTTAACTTTTGATTAATGCTGAATTTAAGAAAGTCCTTCACTTGTGTTTTCCAGGTTGCTGATATTGTGGAAATGTAAATGACCCTTTTTGAGTCCTTCCCTGTTATTATCCAAATATTTTGAGGAAATGGTGGGGAAGGGTACCAAAGCCAAATTGGCGTTCCCACTTCTTTTAGAGGCCAAATTGCAGTGAAGCAGATTGATTAAAGGAGAAGCTGATGGATTAAAGGAGCTGAAAACAGATAGTAAATTAAGCCAACGATTTCAGTTGGAACCCAATGGATTCATGTTTCACAATCCCATCATGTATTAACTTGCGCATTGGTAGTTAGGTATATCGATGTTGATTCTTACTTCATTTGAAATTCTTTGTTCAAGTAAGGTTCATTCTTTTGTAGAATTTAGATCTCAATAGTGGAGTAATTTAGCGAAATAGTTTTGAAACTACAATTGCATGCAAAAGAGTTTGGGAGAGGAGAGCACTCCCGAGCGCCGAATGCAAAGAAACCCTCTTTTCTCTTCTGATATATTAACTGGCTAGTTCGGATATGCGGAAGTTTTTTTTTTTTTTTTTTTTGCGTCTCTAACATCTTGAACAAAAATAAAGGTGAGAGAAAACATTGTATTTTGTGTCCGAAGTGGAATTTGAACCCACGCCTCTTTACGAGGACTAGAACTTGAGTCTGGCAGATAACAACTCTCGGTCATCCTGACACGTGTAACATAAGTTTGACAAAAAAATAAAACAGGATATAAAGTTAGAAACTACAAACCCAATTTGCAACTAATAAGAAAAACAGACACCAAATTCTAGGCCTTTTCCTTTAAAAAAACTGGGAATATGAAAAAATAAATTTTGGTGAAAGGGCTGACATATCATTTGCAAAACCAGAGGGACTAGCATGCAAAATCATGGAAAGCACGTAGGGACCATAATATAATTTAATCAATTCCAAGTTTCTCACTGGTGTTGAAAACAGTGTTTTCCCAACCCGTCCGGTTCTGGCAAAACCACGGATTGAACGGGGATGAGCCAGCCGGATTTTTATATAACCGCTGACCCGTTTGAACTGAACTGAACCGGACGGGTCGAAAACTAAGAGGACCGTTTAGGGTTTTAAGATAATTTAATTTTAGCATTCAAAACTACGTAGTTTTGATTTTCTCTACTACGAACGAAAACAGAACATACCCACTTTTCTTCAATTTTTCCTCTGCCTTAAAAAAAAATCCCCTTTTTCTTTTTCATTCTTCCATAAGATCACAATTGAAAAAAATATATGCAAGCTTGCTTGTGCACTACCGCAGCGCCCGTGCTAGCTTTTCATGTGTCAATATTGAAGGACTAAGAAAATTTCTTGAAGATTTTCTTCTTCTTCTTCTTGCCGAGGTAGGTTGAACTGCTAATATCCAAGCTTTTGCTATTTTTTTCCTCTTCTTCATTTATGAGCTGGGTAATTTCTAATTAGATGGTAAATCATGAATTGGGTATGGAGTTTGAATTAAAAAAATTAAAACTCTAAAACTCTAAACCGTAAACTTGCTATTAATTAATCATCTGTTGCACTTCATTCTTATTTACGATGATCACATTCGCATGGCGTTGGAAGGCTTCTGGTAATTTTTGTGCAATTTGATTAATTGGTCAACTATTGATTAACAAATATTGGACCCAGTTTGGAATTTGTATATTTTAGCTTGAGACTTCATACTAGCTAGTTTAATTTGTTAGTAAGTTTGGTTTTGTTCCTTACATATGATGTTTTCTGTTTTTTGGTTGTTGTCTTTGCAGAGATTTCTATTGTATTCAATTTAAGTAAAGTTTGATAAATAATGCTTTCTGGGGTGAAGTTTATTCCCCGAGATGAAGTTGATAAGGTAGTTTTTTTTAATATAGTTATGCTGGTTTAATTTTAATGTTTAAAGTAGAGTTTCTTATTATTTCTTTTTCATTTTGTTAACTATTTGAATACGGATGATTTTGTGGAAAAGAAAAGGGAATCAGATGGTAGAAGAGAAAAGAATAGAAGAAAGAAGAAGAATTCGGGTCATGATAGCAATTCTGATGATGATCTTGATAGAATAAAGAAACGGTCAAAGAAGGGTAAGAAGTGGTTCTCGTCCGATGAGCATTCATCAGAAGATTCAAGTGATAGTGAGAGTGGTTTGGATGAAAAGAGTAATAGTAAGAGAAAAAACAAAAAGAGAAAGAGTAGAAAACGGTATTCATCTGATGAATATTCATCGTCTTCTTCAGAAGATGAGGTTCGAAGAGCAAGGGCAAAAGGTGGTACAAAGAAGAGCAAGGAAAAACAGCGGGAAATTGATGGTATGTTCTCTACAATAATTTTATGTTAGAATGTTCGATAATTTGATGACGTGAAGATGTATGTTTGATTATTAATTGAGCATTTGTTTGTAGATGATGGCAGAGAATCCCATTCTATAAGTAAAATAGAAATTGCCAGGAAAGAAATGGGTTTAGATTGGATGCTTAGGCCTGCAAAAGATGTTGAGGGAAAGCCGACAGTTAGTGTTCACCACGAGCCGGAGGAATCCCCTGCTGAGGAGGTAATGATGCTTCATTTTCCTTTTTGTCACTCTGTGACCAACTTAATCAGTTGCCTAGCTTTCTTTGGTTGGTGGTCCAGGTTCTGTTTATTTGTGGTACTTAATTGATTTGAAGTTGTAGGGGTGCAAGTTCTGTGTAATGATGAGAGTTCATATTGTGAAATTCCAACATCATTAACCAAGTATCTTGCTTAAATAGGAGAAAATCTAGTTATTCATTTTCATTGTCTCGTTGTTCTTGGTCCATTTCTTTATTTATATGAAATTTTTGGGCTGATAGTTGTTATATGAGTATGATCCGGTTAGCACAACTAGCTGATGTGTTAAGATATATTTGCTAAATATACTCTGTGGGCATTTGTTTTCCAACCTTGTTATACTTTTATGAATTAAAAGTATTTTTCCTCTGGCTGCTTTCACTGATCTTGTTCTACTTTTATGAATTAATAGTATTTTCCTCTTGTTGCTTTCACTGATCAGTTTGTGTTAGAATTTTTGATAATTTGATGATCTTAAGATGTATGTTTGATTATTTATTGAACATTTGTCTGTATATGATGGCAGAGAATCCCATTCTATAAGTGAAATAGACATTACCAGGAAAAAAAATGTGATGCAGAAGACAAAAGACTAGATTTTTGCGTTCTATTTAAATTTTAGAATGCAAGAGAATTTTAGTAATTTTCAGGTTTTCTGGAAGAACCTGGGAATTGTCTAAGTCTAGGCTTTATTTTTATTTAATTTTATTTTCTTAGTCCAGCTTTTCCCATTCTAAATAGGAAAAGTTATGTTGGAGGTATAGGAATCCTTGTTCTAGTAGGATTTGGTCTCCTACAACTCTATAAATATAGCACCTAGTCCCCATTAGAATTTGATGGACTCCTACAATTCTATAAACCAACTCTAATTCTTTTGAGTTTCAACAACTTCTCTTATTTTTTTTGTTCAAGTTTACCATGTGTGAACATGACATTTAGACACCACTTCAAAATCAATTTTGTGTATTTATCTCTTATTATGTATTATGTTGTATGATATAATGCTTTGTATTGTACTATCCATTTTGGATTTAATTAATGATATGTGATCCTTTCTATTCAGAAAAGAAAAATTTGAGAAAAGACCAAAGGCCTAACCAAAGTACATACAGTGAAAAAAGTTAGGATAAGACTGATTAATTGTGGAAGAAGCGAAGCTTTTATTACGAAATTGCTTCTACTTTTGTTGTTCCTATATAGTAAACCAGACATCAACAAAGAAGAATCATGTTAGTAGGTTCTTTCTTGTTTTTGGGCTTTATGCTCCTCTTGTAACAAAAACTGGAAACCAAAAATAAAAAGATTATGACGAATCATGTCAAGTTTTAGTTTGAATAGTTTTCTAATCGAGTGACCCAATTATAACATGTATCAATTTTAGGTGGATAATTGGACTTGATAGAAAAAAATTCAAAAGTTAGTGTACCAATCCCAATTTCCAGGCACTGCTAGCATTTGTTTTGTTTTTAAATTGTGAGATTACTTATGGATCTACAAAAGTAATCCAACTCCACGTCTCATTTAAATTATAAACTCATCTGTAATTAGCTTTCAAAAATGAAATCATTAATAAGTTTTTGTAATATTCCTTTTTCAATAAATAATTACTGCACATTGCTTACTATCTTGACTCCTAAGAACCTAGGTGTGAAGTTTAGGTGTTCCTATCCACTAGGTGCAACTCCTAGAAACCGACTCTAATGTAGAAATCCACATCAATAAAGCCCTAAACAGCCTCCAAAGTCAATGGGTATGGTTTTGAATTGGATGCTTAGGCCTGCAAAAGATGTTGAGAGAATGCCAACAATTAGTGTTCATCACGAGCCAGAGGAAACCGCTGCTGAGGAGGTAGTGCTGTTTCTTTTTCTTCTTGGTCACTCTGTCCTAGCTTTCTTTTGGTTGGTGGTCCTAGTTGTCTTTACTTGTGGTGCTTAATTGATTTGAAGTTGTAGGGGTGCAAATTCTGTGTAATGATGAGAGTTCCTATGGTGAAATTTTAACATCCTTAACTAATTATCTTGCTTGTACTGGAGAAAATCTAGTTATTAATTGTCATTGTCTCCTTGGATCTTGGTCCATTTCCTTATTTATACAGAATTTTTTGGTCTGATACTTGTTATATGGGTATAATTCAGCTAGCACAGCTAGTTGGTGTGTTAAGATATGTTTGCTAACATGTACACTGTGGGCATTTGTTTCCAACCTTGTTATACTTTTATAAAAAATACTTTTCATCTTGCTGCTTTCACTGATCAGTTTATGCATTGTTTATATCATTTCACTGCTCAAAATTGTTGTGCTTACACACGCTTTGCATATTCAGAGCAGCATATGTCACATTTATTCTTTCATTTTCTAAGTTTTGTTGAGTACATGGATGTCTTTTCTCTGCAAAGCAGTTGTGCTATGCTTGTTCTCTGTTGGTGAAGTACTCATTATTTAATTTGTTCATTAGATAACAAGAGTGAACCCTCGGGAGTTGAATCCATATTTGAAGGATAATGGAAGTGGTTATCCGGATGATGGAGTTGAGAAAAAAGTTGGTGGAGACCAACTTCCTTCTTCTTCAGTTGTTGGTGATGGAGGTGCGAGCTGGAGGTTAAAAGCCTTGAAGCGTGCACAAGAGCAAGCAGCTCGGGAAGGAAGAAAGCTTGAAGAGGTTTGTTTCCTTAACTTTCAGAATGCATTTGCTATGACTGAAGGCACCAATATTTGCATTTGATACAATGAAATTTTACAGGTTGTGGAAGAAAGATGGGATTCCCTTGGTCAATTGACTGTTTCTGCATCATCTCGGATGGCTGCCCCATCTCGCGCTCATCTGCATGCAATAAAAAATAGAAAGAAAGGATTAAGCACGGAACAAGACTCTATGACAGACAGTCAAAGTGGGAGAGATATTGGAAAGGTACTTGGCGACTCATTGAAATCATTGTTGTTGTTATTATTATTTTTTTATGAAGCAACTGTATGGTGTGAGTCAAAAATTATTTTCATATCTCTAGAATAAAAATTACTTTTTGGCTTAAACGTAATTAATATGATTGTTATTATCAGAATGCTGATCGAGGCTACTTGAAGGATGTATCTGTCCGCCATCCTGAAATGCGAGCTCCAAAAGTCCATGACACTTTGTCTTGGGGAAAACGAAAAAGTCAAAATATGTCTGTTAAGGATGCAGCCCTTGTTTCTGCTGCAGCATCTAGCTTAAATAAGTTTACTGATGATGGAAGTTTTATGAGCAAAATTCTTGGTAAGCAGAATAAGGATTCTGGTGGCTCTGTTGGTTCCTCTTCAAATCAAGAGGAGAATGTAGAATCAAAGGTGGCTTCATGTCAAATGAACAAACCCAGTGAAGGCAGTCTGTTGGTTAAGGAAGCACTAAGTGCTAACCAGTTGGCAGCCAAGGCTTTGCAGCTTCGCATGAAAGGAAAGCATGAAGAAGCTGAGAAACTTATGGTGAGACAATTTTTCCACTTTTACGTACTTTTGTTTTACTCTTGATTCTTATAAAGACTTAAGCTTCAGAAAGGAATGAGATTTCTCTAGTCCTTCCAGGGAGAAATTTTAGTTAATTTTATCTATATCTTTGTAGTGTGAAAAACATTGCAAGGCAAAAGCTTTCAGCAAGTCGGCACAGAATCATTAGAATACATGAATGGACAGATTATACACGATGTTTTAAGATAGAAGTTAAGAGAATTGAAATGACATTGTTATCCCTTTAGTCCGAAGCTGAGTCCTAAGTTTTAGTCATTTCTTTAGAAATGGGATAAGAATTCAGGGTAAGGTCAAGATCAGTGCAAGAGTGAAAGCATCATACTACTCTTATAGTCACTTTACCATCGGCAGGACTTGGGTGAATCGAAATCTTTTAAAATTGTGAAGATATTTGTATAAAAACTTGCACTTCTGTAAGCTTAGCAGAATATGATAGCAGTGTAGGTGACAACAGTCTCTGAGGTTCATCACCACTTTCCAGATATGTTTTCAGAAGTTGGATACAAGTGACTTTCTAGGTCTTGCATGGGAAAGCAATCATATTTTTAACGATCTTTTCGTATTTGCTAGGTCAAATTGCAAGTACACAACCTTTTTGTTGGTGATTAACTGTTTTCTTTTGCTTTGTTTTATCAGCAAGAAGCTGAGAACATCAAGATGAAGCAGGCTGCGGAAGAAAATTCAAACAGACCTCAGATAGTCAGGAGCATAAACAGGTAATTTTGCTCATTGTGATTTTTCCTATTAAATATTTACACATTTTTTTTGAGTTTCTATTGATATACAATATGCTATAGTTTTGGACAGAGTAGTGCTCTAAACATGAAGTTATAGTATCAAAGATGTGGTGTTTCCTTTCTTTGTGGAACATATTTGAACTCCTTGATCTCTCCTGCGCGGTTCCCAAAATAGCTTATGTTTGCTCAAGCTGATTCAGTTACTCCATATGCCATTACATTTTGTTTTCTCATTCTCAAAATTTTGTAATTTAGGGTCATTGCTTTATGATAATATTTCCTTTTTATTCCTTTTAGATCTGCTGTTCAAGGTGTTTCTGCCAGAAGAAAGGAGGATGAAGATGCTGATAGGCATCTCGCTCAAAAGATAATGCAGAATAAACAGTATAGTTTATCTGGTCGGGCTGACGATGAATATGATTTTGATGACGGCCCAAGAAGGAAGTCTCGTAAGAAGGGGGAGACAGTGATCACAAGGTCTCTGTGAATAATGGTCTTGCGAAGCGTATCTTGACTCAGCAAGAACGCTGCCATTTTTGCTTTGAGAACCCAAACCGGCCAAGACATCTTGTTGTGTCTATAGCAAACTTCGCATATTTAATGTTGCCACAGTGGCAGCCTCTTGTGCCAGGCCATTGCTGCATCTTGCCAGTGCATGTAAGTTTATTCTAGTTGCTTAGGATGGAGTAGGCTGGGGTAGCTGTTACATGTTTGTTCTTACAGTTGAATTGCAACTTGTCATTTGTCTTGGATTTGTTCAAATAGACTGCATTTGGACAATTGATTTGTCTCATAATTATAGTTAACAATTTGAAAAATATGTCAGAATTTGAATCATCACATTCCGAAAGATTCTGCCAGAAAATGAAACAAGAGTTGTTCTGATGATTTAGGAAACGAAATAAAGTCCTTCACAACATGATGTAAATGATAGAGGGTTTTAGTTAGGAACAGACATAGGTGAGCTTTCTGTTACTTCTATTCTTCACCTGAAGATTTATCTTATGGAGACTCTTTTTTTCTTTATAGCATGACTCAGCCACAAGGAATGTAGACAATAATGTGTGGGAAGAAATTCGCAATTTCAAGAAATGCCTTATCATGATGTTCTCCAAGCAAGAGAAGGATTTAGTGTTTCTTGAAACAGTGATCAACTTGTCACAACAAAGGCGTCATTGCTTGATTGAGTGTATACCTTTGCCTCGAGAAATTGCTAAACAAGCCCCTCTCTATTTTAAGAAGGTTAGCTTTCTTTTATTAATTTTCTGTTTTGATGAATTAAATTTTGCTTCCTTTTTTAGTTTTCAGCATTCTATATCTTGCCAGATTATCTAGAGGAGAAGCTGGTCTGTTAGGAAGTGCACTTTGAAAAAATTGCTTTTTTTTTTTTTCCTCCCTACCTTTTCCTAAACAATGAGTTGTCATCAAGCACAGAAAGGAATGAAACATAAAGTTAACAAGAAAGGATTGGCAGTGTACTGTAACAATTTTGTTCTTTATTACCTAGCCAATTGTTTAATTTAGGGTCAAAGCGATGACTATATAACAGTAACGAGAAACCATAGTGCAAAGTAATTTATAACCATGTGAGATTTTGTGTATGGTTCTAATATCAACCTAGTAGCTTTCTGTTTAGGAACAATGTCAGCATCAGCCATTCACATATATAGATTTTGCTTATATATATGGACAAATACATGACTTGCACACACCTTTACATGCTCATCCATCCTTTCCTAATAAATACTTGCACTAGTTACCGAAGTAAGTTCGTTTCAGGCAATCGATGAAGCTGAAGATGAATGGAGTCAACACAATTCAAAGAAGCTCATTGATACAAGTGAAAAAGGACTTCGTGGTTCAATCCCCAAGGACTTCCCTTACTTCCATGTTGAATTTGGATTAAATAAGGGGTTTGTCCATGTGATTGATGATGAGAAAAACTTTAAAAGCAGCCTTGGCTTGAATGTTATAAGGGGCATGTTGCATTTACCTGAGGAAGACATGTACAGACGCCGGAGGCAGGAATCAGTAGAGGTACAAAAACAAGCAGTTGCAAATTTTGCTCGAGACTGGGAACCATTTGACTGGACGAAACAACTCTGACTAATTTTCTGGCAAATAGCTTTTAGAGTGCCTCGTTCTTTTGAACTTCCATATTGCCCCAGTTCTATGCTGGGATGCAAATACTTGCAAAGACAGCTCAGTAGAAACAAGCATTTTGATATCACAAGAGCTTTGATATCAGCCAATTTTTGAAGCTAGAATTCTAGACAGGAAGGGCGTCCCAGCAAAAGCTGATTTTTGCTGGAAACTAGCTAGAAGATGGCAATGCTTTTATCAATTTTGCTGTGTTGTTATACTAGATGGTTTTCTGCGGATAGCTTCAGGTCAGAGTGCGTTGCTTTAAATCTTTATTTTATATGTAAATCTTAAAAGTTTTGGTGGCTGCAAATTAGCTTCGACTTGTCATGTGATGCCATGTGTCCATCATAGAAAACAGGTAAAACTTTGGCAGATTCTTCAACATGAGCTATAACTTTTATTCACCAAAAAAACGTATTGGTAACTTTAAAATTTTAGTTTCACTAGCTCATGTTATTGTATCTTTTTTAGTTATTAATTGAATCAATTTAATTATGGATTTTGCCCATATATGGCCTCTTGAGTTTTTTATTTTATTTATTTATTTATTTATTATTATTATTATTTTTTTTTTTGTTGATTGAGTTTTTGAACTTTTCATTTTATTTTGTTTTTGTCTGCCGTTATGATGCTGTTTGTTTCTAAATGCTTGAAACGTGTTATATATGATATTTTAATTGAGAGATTAAATCAAAACAATTCAAAAAGTATGAGATTTCAATTAAAATAATTTAAGGGGGCAAGGATTAAATTTTTTTTTAATTTTTAGGTAATTGTGATTTTAAAATCTGATCTCAAATGCTGTGAAACGTATTATAAATGAGAATCCAACAGTAATATGTTGGTCAAAATTAAAATAAAAACAACAATAATGTTAACTAGTAGTTAATTATTTATACTAAATCAGAAAATATAATGCAATTTTGAAAGCATATTAATTTTTTTTATTAATTTTTTTTTTTTTTGAGAGAGAGAGAGAGAGAGAGAGAGAGAGACCTCATTTTTCATTTTGAATTAGTCAAATATTCAAGTTTTTTTTACTTTTTATGGAGGATTAGACCCATTAACTAAGGGTTTGTGAATGGTCAATATTGCAATCACCATATTTTCATTTTAGTAATTATATGCTAGGCTTTTTTATTTAATATTTTATTATTTTTAGCTTATTATAATATTTTTTAAAAAAATGAAAAATACGTCAGAGACACTTTAGAGTTTTACTTAAAAAAAAAAGGGGTTTCATGTATGATAAATTTGTTCATTTAGGATGAGTTTTTTTTAAATAACATGAAAATTTAAAAAAAAATAATTTTTATATTTTTTGAATTATTTTTATTGAAGTCTCGTGCTCTTTAAATTGTTTTTATTAAATTCTTTTTATTATAATCTATGTATGACACGTGTCATATGTTTAAAAATAGACATGTCATCTTAAAGTTAAAAAAAATTTACCGTCAGTTGGCATGGCAAATAACAATAATCATATCACTCCATAGGTTAAAATAGAATGAAAACTTTATTTTCTAATAGTTTCTAATCAAATTCAATAATTTAAGATTCTTTATTTGTTTGTTTGTTTAACAGTATTGTAGACAAATGGATTGAATTTGCTTTGGAATACGTTTAGTTAGTCCCAATTTATCCCTTACTATATATATATATAAAAAAAAAATTACTCGCCAAGTTTTGGTTGAAGTTAAGGCATAATTTGCAAGCTAAACCAAATACCGATTAGTTTATCTATAACTAATGTCTGCAGAATTAAGCACGTTGGCAATCACAATTTATGTAAATGTAATTTAATTTGATGAAAGATTCAATAGAATTTTATGTCTCATAATAAAGTTTCAATGATTGAATGTTAATAACTAAGTAAGAAGCATATCCATCTTCTATGATTTCGAAACATGGTTTTTTTTTTTTTTTTTTTCCCTTAGTCTCAAAATTCAAAATGGTTTTCAACAAACGCATGCACTTACTTAATCTCCCAATATTCAAAATGATTATATATATATATATATATATATATATATATATATATATATATATATATAATCATTTTGAATATTGGGAGATTAAGTATATATATATATATTTGCTCATTCAGAGATTTGCATGATTATAATTTGGTTATAAATTATTATAAATTTTTTTTCCATGGATAAAAAGTCTTTAATTTTTTATTTATTCGATTTGGGTTGAGAACCATATCTTTTTTTTTTTGTAGTAAAATTTTTTCATCTCATTGACCAATCTAGGACGACATTAGATGTGCATGAGCTAATTTCGTATAAGATTAATCAATGAAATAAAAAGATTTAATTACAAACCAAAATAAGGGTTTGGTATTCAAATCGGAATATAAAAAATTAAAGATTTTTTTCATCTCGTTAACCAATCTCGAGTGACATCGGATGTGCATGAGCTAATGTCATCTAAGATTGATCAATAAAAATAAAAATACTTAATTGCAAACAAAAAAAAGGATTTGGTATCCAATTCAAAATAAAAAAAAATAAAAAAATTAAAGACTTGTTTCTTGTTGACCGAAAAAACAAGACAATCTATAACCAATTAACTCAATAGTTACTACACCAAAAGAAGACTACGAAGCGGAATATTAAGGTGGTGTAAACAACCGTCTCAAAGTTTAATAGCTTTTAGCTTATATACATTTTACATAAAATTGAAGCATTGATAAAATCACCCCACTTTTTAAGTAGTTAGCACCCACGTTTTGTTTTCTTTTGTTTTTTGTTTTTTTTTTTTTCCTCCTTATTCTAAGAAGGAAAAGACGTTTAGTTATCCGGCCTCTTAGGATTTTGCTTCTTGTCTTCTCTTTTTTTCTAGAAACTAAATTATAACTATTCACCAAAAAGCCTAATTTATAATTTAAAGAGTTTTTGCTATCCATAAATTGGCCTATTGCAAATCTATTGGGTACTCACAATACTCTTTATTTTCTCCTTGATTATGCTAATGGTATGTATGATAATTTTTTTAAAAAAAAAAAAAAAAAAAATTGTGCTTGGTCTTCTCTCTCTTTATATCTCTTTTTTTCCTTGTCTATTGAATTAACCATCATGACTAGAGAATCCTTAGTAGATTAACAAAAATAAAATGTGTTGTGCAGTAGTAGCTAAATAAATAACTCCTTGAGGCAATGCATTTTGAATGTATTATGTCTTTTGTTGCTAGACAAATTGGAAGTCCCTGAATTATTTAGTCATCTTTATCTTCTTAATACTTGTATGAGTCTATATGAAAAAATAACACACCATGTCGTAGTGGATGCTGCTTTTGATGCTATCTTTTGAAGTCGTTTGTATTTGTGTAGGGTTTGAAATATGTATTTAAAGCTCACCCAACCTCATAGGCCTCTCAAGATAATATAGCTCTTATACCAATTGTTGATTTTTGACAAAAAACAAAGTGCAAAAACAGCAAAAATAATATGATTTTTTAGACTATAATAATTTTTATTGATGTAAAACATCTTTAAATAGATGAAATCTTTCAACTAGAAACTAAAAAATCTCATAAACTTTAGAAACATGAAGCATGGCTAACTGTCTTTCCTCTACGCAGCAGCAGCTCCTAAGATATGCCATTCAACAAGTGACCCAAAATGTGATGTATGTTTACAGTTCTATAATGAATAAGAAAAAACAAAAAAAGAATGAGCTGAAGGGGCAAAACACTAGGAATCTTTTTAAGTTGAGTGGCGGATTTAATAATTATATGACAGTTATTGTTTTTTAATGTATTGCACGGTGATAACCAAAATTAACTAATGGCTTCCAAAGATTTCCTACGTACTTGGTCATGACTGGTCAATAACTAACAGAATCTAAAGGCAAGCATGATGTTTGAATTTTCTTTTTTCAGTTTTTATAGGATTTTACCACATAAAAAATTGCCACTACAGGATTTCTGACCTCAAAAGGAAAATGACAAATGATCAAACAGAAGACGAAGTTTATTGACGTATTATAAACTAATAAATAAATAAATATCCAAAGGAATTCAGAAAATTAAGAAAGTTGTAATATGATTGAAATACAAATTTATTTACGATATACTAAAAATTCATATTAAAATCACATAAAAAAAAAAACCCAAATCACAAGCGAATCAGAACAAAATTGCTTCTAAGATAATGTTTGATTTAATAAATTAAGAAAATTTAAATGAGTACCCAAACCACATCAAAAAATTATGAAGTTGGAATAATGATTAAAAAACATGTGTATTTATTGCATACTAAAAATTCAGATTAAAATCATGTCAAAAACTTGCCTAAATTTGTTTTTTATGCAAAATTTAATTATGCAGTGTGAACTCAAGAAAATTTAGATGAATGTCATAGCGATTCAGAAAATTATAAAATTGGACACGTGATTAGAGGACATAAGTATTTACAAAATATTAAAATTTTAGATTAAAATTACATAAAAAAAAAAAGCCCAAATTATGAATGAATAGAACAATCTTTGTCTGTCAAACAGTGTTAATTTAACTGAGCTTTATTACGTGAAATTGAGGGGTGTAATTGAAAAATCATTATATATTAAATTATCAAAATAAAATGAGTTAACAAATCAGAGACTGAACTGTATAAAACATGCTAAATTCAAAAATATGAACGAGAGCCCAAAAACGTGTTTTCTATAGAATTTTTCAACTAGGATCATGGTTTCCATAGCCAAAGTGAAGGGGGAAAAAAACAATGTGACTGAAAGCTGGTACAACTAAACTAATACCATGTTAATCTTTCCATAACAATCCAAAAAACATGAAAATCAAACCCCTAAAACTTGTTTTAATCCACGAAAAAAAATTCAACCAAAACAAGAATAATCAAGATAAAATTGAATTTAACCTCATACGTGTTTTTTATTTTTATTTTTTCCCTTCGTTTCTCTTCTTATTCTTTCTCACGAATTCCCAAGAGCATTCAT